AAAATTTAAAATATATACTTCACTAAACGAGGAAGAAAAATAAAGGAAGTGTACCATAAAGGTATTTTCCCATTATTCTTCATTTCTTCACGATGCCCTCCCCATGAGACTCCCCATTTACCCGTTCACTGAGCACCATATCCCCGGAACTCTCCAAGGAATACACCTCCCATTCTCCATTCCTACAATAGGTGAAATACACCTCCGGAATCCGTGCAACCCTCCAGTAATCTCCACCATCTACTCCGGGACGGAGGGTGTTGATCAGCTCCTCCATCTCAAAGAATTCAAGCGCTTTCAGCATGCTCAGATGTTCAATGCCCAACGGTACCTTCTCCAACGATTTGCATCGCAGTATACTCATCTTTTCAATGCAAGGTATTGCTCCTTTCTCCACCTCAATGCATCTCAGCTCGTCGGATTTATCAATGCCTAATATCTTCAGCTTCTCAAACCCCCCGGCCTTGAATGTTAGTGTGTCGCCCTGGGATACCTGGAGTAATTCAAGATGTAAAAGGTTTGGAAGTCGTTGAAGAGATTCCAGTGGATCGTACTCCAGGCGGCTCCATTTCAGATATACTATGACTAAGCTTTGTAGGGAAGGTATCCATTCAGGTATCTTCTCCAACCGTCCGTACAAGTACAGTCGCTGCAGATACGGCGGAGGAGACGAAAGGTGCTGCAGATCAATGACTTCGTCCTTCGTCGACGAAACTATAGAAAGCGACCGGAGGTTTGTCAGATTTTCGATGGAAGTGCACAGAATTCGCCCGTCCTCTCTTCTCAGATTCAAAATCCCTAATCTCCGCAGTTGTGTAAGTTTCCCTAACTCTGCAATCAACGATGGATTTCTGTGATCTACTTCGATGAAACAGAGTTTTTGTAGGGATCTCAGATCTCCGATTCCGGCCAAAAATTTGAATCCAAATTGTGAATGGAATCGCGAGTAATACCTGAATTCATAGCGATATACGAGGAGATGACGAAGCTTATTGAGATTCAGGATCTCGATCGGTAATTCAGTAACAGAGGTGTGTTTCAGATCCAATGTCTCCAGATTTTGAAGTTTCCCGATCGAACTAGGTATGGATCTGATCTTGGTGTCTCTCAGGCTTAGATAATTAAGCAGAAGCAGATTCACAATTTCACCAGGAAATACCTCTAGCATTGCACCTCTAAGATCCAACACCTTAAGCAGCCTACCGCGGAGCAGATCCTGTAAAGTAACGCTGGACAATGGATCTACCACTTCGAACATGAAGAGAGATCGGAGATGAGAAACATTCCGATTCCCCTGTACATTGTTCAATGAGTTGTGTATGGATAGTCGGCGGACCTTTTCCGGCCATGGAGCGTCCTGCTCTTTAGCCACTACTGCAAAGTTCTGATCCCTCGATTTTGAGATGACGATTTCGCGCAGAAGATCATGGATCCGGCATGTTTTCACCCTTCCATCGCTAGTCTTGGCCGCCACTTGTATCAGGCTTCTGTTTAATAGCTCGTTGAGGTAGTCTTCTGCAACTTCTTCCGGTTTCTTTCCTTCTTTTACTTCAACCAATCCTTCTGCAATCCACAATCTTTTCAGTCTCATTGTCTCGATCAGATGGTTCTGTGGGAAGATGCCGAGGTACAAGAAACAGGACTTGAGATGGTATGGTAAGTCGTTGAAGCTCAGCAGGAGAACTTCCTTTAAACTCTTAAGTTTGTGATCCTTAT